TCTTTACGGCTATCATGGCATCATCACTGTCGCAGCTGACTTCAGCTATGAGTTTTGTCATTAGGCTTCTTGGTTCCAGCCTTACTGCTTCCTGAATCTTTTTCCTAAGTTCTTCTAAGTTCTGTTGGTTTTCTGCCGTCCAGACCCATAATTTCTTGCAATTCGTTTGACTGTCATTTTCTTTTTTCTTTAGGCAGGCATACAGTGGTTTGGCGTACCTCTGATAGTTAGGGACATGATCTCTCACATAGTTACACAGCCCTAAGATCTTCTGTAAGTCGTTCTCTGACTCAGGAGGCTGAATTTGTTCGAGTTTCTCCCTATACCCTTCTGAGAGTCCTAGGTCTGCTGTCACTTGAAACCCTAAATAATTAACTTGGAACTGTCCAAGTTGGCATTTTTTCAAATTCAGTTTCAATCCTGCCTCTGTGACTCGCTGCACCACCTTAGCTAACCTCTCCAGGTGCTCTTCCTCTGTGTCATCTGCGATAAACACATCGTCGATGTAAATTGTGGCGCCTAAGTCTTTGAGCACGTCCATCACGACTGACTGAAATACATTAGGAGAGTTTTTATATCCCTGTGGTAGCCTCTGCCAAACATAACTTTTTCCCTGGTGGGTAAAAGCTGTCTTTCCCTGTGATTGTTTTGCCAGCCTAAGAGAGAAAAATCCATTTGCTAAATCAATGCAAGATTTGTACTTTTTCACTTGTAGAGTTTTTAGGGTGCCCTGCGGGTTGATTAGACTCGCTCTGTTGGCTACTGTTCATCTGTTAAGGGCTTTGAAATTAATCACTGGTCGCCACCCTCCTCCTGCTGATTCGGGCTTCTTAACTGCTTGGATTGGGCTGTTAGTTATGGGGTTTGTTTCTTCCCTAATAATTCCTAACGCTCCTAATTCTTTCACAATTTTGTTCATTTCTTCCACTGCTCCTGGATTCAGGGGATATTATCTTACTGGTGGGTGAACTCCTCCTTCGATTATATGTACAAACTTTGGGCCTAGGTCTCCACAATCATTTTTAAATCTGGCTATTGAGGCTTTCTCTAATATTTGTTTTAACTTCTCTTTCCCAGCCGGGGAGAAGTCACTCTCATCCATTTTTTGTTTCGTTACTTCAGGGATATTTACAGGTTTATACCAGTCTTCGGACTCACCTTGTTTGTGTGTGAACCCTATTTTTACTAGCCTAGATTTTAACTTCTCTAACCTTCTGTTTAAGGCTCTTCGGTTCTTTTTTGGTTTCTTTAGTTCTTTTAGATCTGTAATTGTCATAAGGTTATAAGGCCCTTTTATCCACACAATTCCTTGCCATAACCCGTAAGGCATTGTTTCAATTTTTCCGTTTGCTAACTGAACTGTCAGGTGTCCTACTGTTTTTAGGTTCCTGCGGGTCATAGACACCTCAGCTCCGGAATCTATTAGGTAAGGTTCTTCCTCTACTTTAGTGAAGATTTCGTCCCCCTCCCAATAGGCATCTTCCAGAGTGACCCGCAACCTATCTGCCATTATTTAGCTGGCCCTCCACTCCCTTTCTCACGGGATTCATGGAGGGCTCGTTTTTCTTCTGGGGTCAGTTTTGCATATTCTTCTGGGGGTAGGTATTTACCTCCTTTCTGTGGTGTGGAGTTTGAAGCTGGAGCTGAAAATCGTTTTGGTTGTTGGTCCCTATATTGAGGTTCTGACTGCCTCGGTGGTCTCTCCCTGTACTGCGTCCCTTGCTGTCTCGGGAACTGTTCTCTGTATTGTGGCTGTTGAGGGGCCTTTTGTGTCGGCTTTGGTGGTTTTTGGCTTTGCCTGCTCTCACTTTTCTTCTTTTCTTCCCAGAACAGCTGCTCTAGGTCATACGATTTTACTGCCTGGTCTATCTGGGCGTCATTAGTTTCATGAGGCATTCTAGCAAAGGTGAGCTCTCCCCTTCTTCCCTTGGATACGATCCTTAAGGCTTTAACATACCTTTTAGGGGGAATTACTTGTTTAAGTTGATACCAAACTGGGGTGAGGCGTTGGCCTTGATCCATGCGCATTCTTGCCCGCTGAATGTGAGAGTCTTCGTCGTCCATGTCTTCTAGGACTAGTTTCTCATACTGGCTTTGAGCTGATTCCCCTTTGCTCATTGGGTTTGTGGTGACATTACCTAGCCACAACTTTTTTGCTGCATCACACTCAGTGGAGCTAACTACCATGGGCCACACATCTTTGATGTATTCCTCGGTGGTCTCCTGGGGTTGTTTTTCTCTCACTAAGGTTTTCAGCTTTTTGTACTCACGATAACTGTCAGTTTCTGGGCCTGGGGCCTGGTTTTGTCTAGCCTGCCTGGGCTCATGGGTTGATTCAGGCATTTGATACTGTGGGCTTGTCTCGGCCGGGTATGTATCATCTTCCTCATCGGCCGATATTTCATCTCGCAATTTCTTCTCTGTTTCTTGGGCATACTTGTAGGCCGTCTTTTTCATTCTTCTCAGCATCACATCATGTACAATCCCTAAGTATGCGGTCCTAAACTTACTGGTTAAGGGTTTGTGGGCTGCTAAGGTGGGGTATGAGGGCATCATCAAAATGTTGGCCCACTCTCCCAAAGTGGCTTTAACAGTCAGTTCCACTGTCTCTTCTGACCTGTCTGCCCATATTGGTGGAATGTCATAGTGATTTTGGCCAGCTTCAGGGATATAAGTTCGACGCCCATCACTCGCCTGCACCGGGCCCCAACTCAAGTCCCTGGCTAACCTTTCTGATACTCTATGTACGTCCAGTATTTCTACTTCCTTCTTTTGTCCTTTTCTTTGTCCTATTCTTAATGGCTTAAGTGGACCGTCGTATTGGCCTGCTATTGATCCTAGACTGGCACTACCTTCGTCATCTGTGTCTTCTTGACTCGGGTCTACGTCTGGTTCTCCCTGAGAACTCTCGTTGTCATCCTCCTCACTCTCTATGTTTAAGGGTTGTATTTTTGTCACTGTCTCTCTCTTTGGCTGTCCCTCTCGTGAGTCTGCTCCGCTTCTGCGTCGTCTTGTGGTTGTACTTATCAGGTCATTTTCTGAGGGTGAGGTCAGGGACATTTTCGACCCCTGAGGACTGATCCTTAATGGGTCTTCACTTTTCTTGGCTCCCGGTGATGATCCCGGTGTCGATGATTTTTCTGTGTCTTCTTTCCCTAACTTTAGGGGTTCTCTGATTGGTCTTTCTTCTTGTTTTGTCATTGCGGCCACAACCCTGGATTTCCGATCTTCATCTAGATGAGTGGGGGTCACTATAATCATTTCTTTTAAGTGGGCTTCTGCTGGCATGTCTTTGGCCAGGTACGTCATTGAATTGACCGCTATTCTCTCAGCTGTTTCCCACTGCATATGGTGGGACCGGAGCCCATCTATTCCTATCACTATGCGCCTGAAGCCGAACTCTATGGCTCGGAACACTCCTTTCTGCAGAGCTTCTAACATTTCCTTGAGATACCTGGTCTCATCGGTTGCTTCTTTATAGCTTCGAATTGGGATGTGTATTATCGCATAGTACGGAGCATCAGCTCCACTGGTCATTCTTGTTTTTGGCTCTTCGCTATGTGGTCCACCGGTGAGTTGTTTTATTTCAACTTGGTACTCCCTACCGGCTACTTTCTTTAAAGCTTTTCTGTAGGTTGAGTTATGGATTTTGTACTTATGATTTGTAAATACCAGTAACGCATCTGCCTCTATAGACCATGGTGTCCCTATCACTTGGTATACTCGGGTACCATTTTGAAACTTCACACATTGAGTCTCTTTCGGGAGTGGTTCTAGAACCTGTTTGAGCCCTGCTGTTTGCCTAATTTTTTGTTTCTTTTGTGAATTTTCTTTTTCCCCCTCCTCTTGACTGTAGTCTGACTCGGGTTCTGGTTTTAAGTGTTTTTCTTTAGCCTTCTTTTTCCCATAAGTTTTTTGGGTTTCTCCTGAGGGGTTCTGTTTAGGATTTTCTTGTTTAATCGGCTGTTTTTTTAGTGGTTCTGTCTGTCTCTGCTCTCGCATTCCTCGTAACCCCCTTTCTGCCCACCCGGTTTCAGTGGTTTCGAGCCTCCCCATCCTGTCCACTATGCTTTGGGCGAGCAGGTCTAAGTTCTTGTCAACCTGTTTAAGATAGTCTTTACACCCTGTGTCCTCATTATTATTTTCTTCAGGTTTGTTTTCTTTTTTGATCATACTTGCTAATAATCTCAGTTGCTCTGCTCTGGTTTCCTCATCTGTATCAGAATGGTATTTGGGAGTTTCTCTGTACGCACTCAGGTTTGGAGTGGAGCTCACGAAGGTGGGGGGGTGATTAGAAGTTGGAGGGTAAGCTTCCTGCTTTAGCCTCGTGCCTCCTGGGTTTCCTCCTTCCCTTTTA